AATCTTTAAAAAAAAAATTAAAGGTAAAGTAAACTTGCTTGAAATAAGAATTTGAGCTATAATCATTCTTTAAGATAATAGGTGGTGATTGCATCCATTTCAGATGGTTATTTTTTAAAAGTCAGCGGTTAAAAAGATAAATATGTGAAGAGATGGATATGTTAATACACTAGATGGAAGGAATCCTTCAATAATTTATATGTTTATCAAATCATCATGGTATACACTTCAAATATCTTACAATTTTATTTGTTAATTAACTCTGAAAAATAATAAGTTATCATGTTCTTAACCTGCGTTAAAGCTAAATATTCATCTATCATAATAGGAAGCCTCTAAATCTGTGCTATCCAATACAGTGGCCAGTATGTGGCTATGAAACACGCGAAATGTGGCTAGTGAGAACGGAGCCATGCCCTACGTATAAAATACACAAGATTTCCAAAACTACAAAGAATGTAAAATATCTCATTAATGACTTTTACAGTGAATGCATGTTGAAACGATAGTATTTTGGAAATACTGGGTTTAGCAACATACTTTATTAAAAATTTTTGAAATGGGAGCTATTCGATGAAGCATAAAATGGTTGTCATAAAATTCTTCATTGAACACATCTGAAATTGCTTCTTTTGTTCTGTATGTTAATGAGAAAAACAATGGCATGAGGGTATTTTAAGTCGGTAAGTCAAGTGCATGCGTGACAGGTGAACAGCGGCTGGAACAGAAAAGGAGACGAAGGCATGAAGTGGAGTCAACGAAGAGAAGAGCGAATAGAAGAACAGACAGGACTTACAATTCAGTGAACATGATGACGAAGCATAATAGTGATGTGAAGCCACAGGGAAGCGGGTGACTAAGCTAGACCGCCCCCTGGAAAGTCAGGGAGCCACGGAGGCGCGATGGGAAATATAGTGGGTGACCCCTGGGCTCCTCAAAGAGTCTCTCTTTCTCCCCACGTGACACACAAGGCAGGGCTGCGGCCCCTGGTCACAGTCACACAGCGCCACCCACTCGTCCGTTTGGCCCCCTGGGCGGGACCCTTGGGCTGCACTCCGCCCCCCGCCTCACCTTCTCCAGGCCTGTGGACTCGTCCTCCACGTCCCTGGGCAGCAGGACGAGCATGCTGAGGTGCTTGTTTTGAAAGGGGAGCTCTATGACCTTGCAGTTGATACTGTCGATGTGGCCCATGCAGAACGTGGCTTCCAGGCTCATCATCTGCACTGGCTTGGTGTCCGTCTATAGGAGCAGAAGAAATCTGGCTACTGGCTTTCCGTTTCATACAAGTATACATATATATATA